CATACATACGTACATACATACGTACGTACATACATACATACACAAACATACATACATACATACATACATACATACATACATACATACATGCATGCATGCATGCATGCATGCATACATACATACATATGTATGTATATATATACATCCGTGCATACATACATACGTACATACATACGTGCATACATGCATGCATACATACATGCAAGCATACGTACGTACATACATACCTACACACATGCATACGTACATGCAATTAAACAAACATACAAACATACAACCATACAAACATACAAATATGCAAGCATACAAACATACATACATACATACAAACATACACACATACATGCATCAATACATGAGTATATACATACACACTTACAAACAATCATACATGCATACAAACAAACATACTTATATACATACATACATACATACATACATACATACATACATACAGACAGACAGACAGACAGACAGACAGACAGACAGACATACATACATACGCATTCACATACATACACACATACAGACAGAGAGACAGACAGGCAGACAGACAGACGTAGATACATACATTCACATACATACATACATACATACAGACAGAAAGACAGACAGAGAGACAGACAGACAGACAGACAGACAGACAGACAGACAGACAGACAGACAGACCTACCGACCTACCTACCTACATACATGCATGCATGCATAAATAGGTACATGTGTACACAAATATCTATGCATGCATATACATATATATATATATAAATATGTGTGTATATATATATATATATATATGTGTGTGGGTGTGTATGTCGTATGCTATGTATGTACATGTGTACGTGTGTATGTGTGTAGGTATGTTTGTACGTAGGTATGTTTGTGCGTATGTATGTTTGTATGTAGGGGGATGTGTGTATGTGTGTGTTGTGTGTTATGTGATGTGTTGTGTTGTGTAGTGTGTGTGTGTGTTGTATGGTGAGTGTTATGTGTTGTGTGTTGTGTGTCTGTTGTATGATGTGGGTTGTGTGTTGTGTGTTGTGTGTTGTGTGATATGTTGTGTGCTGTGTGTTGTGTGTTGTGTGTTGTGTGTTGTGTTTGTGTTGTGTGTTTTGTGTTTTGTGTGTTGTGTTGTGTTTTGTGTGTTGTGTGATGTGTGTCGTGTGTTGTCTGTTGTGTGTTGTGTGCTGCGGTGTTACGTCTTGTTTGTTGTGTGTTGTGCGTTGTGTGTGTGTGTTACTGATAGGGTCCGTGTTTCTGCATTGCGGTCGGTTGCTGATACGGAATGGGCTAATGAATGTTTCCTCCAGGGCGACGAATACTATACATATCCACTGCTCCCTGGCCAGGCCTATCCTGAATCCAGCAGCGGCGCATACGCTACGCACTCCTTGCTGGGCAAGGAGGGCGTATACACAGATCCTGGGTTCAAGATGGGCCTGCCCAGGGAGCAGTGGATATGTATAGATTTCGCCGCCCGAGCCTCGTGAACATACAAAGTTGGGGAGGTTGTGGGACCGCGGCAAGTTCCGTATTGCGTCCCGCTCCTGATACGGAAATAATTGTTCATTCCGTACTGCGTCGCGGTCGTGATACGGAATCACTACTGCGTTGGGCCGCTTTCGATCTTCATTGGTTGCGCCACGACTTCTGCATGAGTAGCCAGCACCGGCGATCCAGCATCGCTACCGATCGGATACCGTAAGTGATGCCGCATGCGAAGAGCAGGTTATACAGAAAGAAATGCTGACGATAAAAGAGAGACGAGTGAGTGCGATGAGCGGGAACGCCGCTTCCAGCAAGATGAAGGCGAAGAGCCCAATTCAACTTCAATGGAGTACCAGCACATTCGGCAGGTAATTCAAGCTCCGGGGGGTTGAGGGATGCGACGGCCAATGGCACTGTGCATGACTGTCTAGTAAGCGTCTTCAAAATATGCGAAAATACGGATGACATGATCATTTCTCCCAACCACATGCTCCCAACCCGATAATTGTCGTTCGGTGTTGGAGAGGGGGAGTGGGAGGCTGGCGGGGGGGCGGCTAAAGACGGGCAGTGGGAAAGGTCCTCTTCCTCCTCCTCCTCCTCCTCCTCCTCCTCCTCCTCCTCCTCCTCCTCCTCCTCCTCCTCCTCCTCCTCCTCCTCCTCCTCCTCTCCTCTCTCCTCCTCTCCTCCTCCTCCTCCTCCTCCTCCTCCTCCTCCTCCTCCTCCTCCTCCCTCCTCCTCTCCTCCTCCTCCTCCTCCTCCTCCTCCTCCTCCTCCTCCTCCTCATCCTCATCATCATCATCATCATCATCATCATCATCATCATCATCATCATCATCATCATCCCTCCTCATCCTCCTTCTCATCATCATCAGCAGCATCAGCATCATCATCATCATAATAATCACCATCAGCATCATCAGCATCAGCATCATCATTCCTCATCATCCTCCTCATCCTCATCCTCATCCTCCTCATTATCATCACCATCACCACCACCACTACCATCATCATCATCATCAGCATCATCTTCATCATCATCACCTCATCATCATCATCATCATCATCATCATCATCATCATCATCATCATCACCGTCATCATCATCATCATCGTCATCATCATCATCATCATCATCATCATCACCATCATCATCATCATCATCATCATCATCATCATCATCATCATCCTCATCCACCCTAGGTCCTCCTCCCCCTCCTCCTCCTCCTCACTCCTTCGCCTCCTCCTCCTCATCCCTCGATCCTCCTCCCTCATCCCTATCCCTCCAGCCCTTCCTCTCTTCTCCTCGTCTTTCTCCTCCACCTCACCATCAGCACATTCCACCCATGAAAGGGGGCGAAACAGCACGGAAGCGCTTCCCAGCAGCACACCAATTGAAAGAATCAGGGGACGGATGGGAACGGCCGGCGACCCGGAAGACGCCACCTCGACGCCAGCTCTTTAGTTCATTGCTTTGCTTTGCTCGCGGCCAGCTCGGATATGCACTGCCTTGCATTACTTCGCAATGCTTCACAGAGCCTCACATTGCTCTGCATTGGCTTGATTGACTTCGCTTTGATTTGCATGGCTTCGCAATGGCTTCCAATACTTTCTAGGGCGTAGCATTACAATGTATTCCTTGCACCGCACCTATTGCACCACACACGAATGGCATTGCATTGCTACGTATATTGAATGTGCATATTGTGCACCAAGTTGCACTACACAGCTTGCACAACATACATCGCACCACACGAATTGCACCACATAGACTGCGCGCAAATACTGCGCCAAAAACACTGCACTACAGAAGCTACAGAGCGGCCCGCGGGGTCCTCAACCTTCTCCTCCTTGTCCTCCTTGTCCTCCTCCTCCTCCGCATTCCTCCTCCTCCTCCTCCTTCTCCTCCTCCTCCTCCTCTTCCTCCTCCTTCTTCCTCGTCTTCTTCTGGCTCGTGCTGGAGGCAGGCCATCCCCTGGTCCCGCCAAAGCTGGTGCCAGCGACATGTCTCGCCTTGCCCGAGAGCTACCCCCAAAGAGTGCTATGAATTTGCCCTCGTTATGAACTTTGCTGCTCGAGCCCTGGCTAGATCAGGAGTGCTCACCAGATGGTCAAGACCTCCCATATATATATATATATATATATACAGATACATATACATTCATACATATATGTATGTATATACTATATACATATACACTCCATATGATTGAGAGACGCCAGAGGAAGGTAGCAGGCCATCGAACACCAGGAAAAGAAACTCGCGCGTGCGCTGACCAGACCAGACACCCCGAGCAGTGCCGGAGCTGGTACCCGCACAGATGTCCCTCACGAGTCTAATTCGAATTGCGGCCGCAAGCTGAGATACGCCCCACAGCAGCCTGGATGGAAGGGCTATGGCGGCTCGCCAGATGAGCAAGTACCTAGCGCCTTGATTGCCGATGCGACGCACGGCTGAGGGAAGAGGAAGAAGCAAAGCAGTAAAGGAAGCAGAAGGACGAGAGCGAACGGCAGGAACTACGACAAGAACTTGAAGGCAGCACGAGGGGGGTGCAGGGCACGGGAAGCTCTGAGCGAAACCATCCCTGACGCCCCAAGGGCGGTGGACGCCGCCCCTGAGGAAGGGGGACAGCGCGGGTACAGTAAAAGAAAAACAAGTAAGAACATGCAAAGCAACATTGTGACCGATACTGAAAGGCAGCGGAAGGCGGGAGGCACAAGGAGGAGAAGAGAGGGAAGCAGCAAAGAACAGCAACTGGCAGCATCGGAGGCCTCTGCCTCGGATGCCACCCCCCCGCAGGGGGGAGCCGAAAACTTAGCGAAAATAGTGGGAAAACGAAAACTTGTGCTGCAACTCATGGGAGCTTTTCATACTATCTTGTTCGCTCTTACCTATCGACGCTAATCGACGCTTGTCGACGCTAAATCGACGCTAATATGCGCTATCCGACGCACTTCGACGCTGAATTGGCGCCATCTTATCGATTACCGGACGCTAACGACGCTGACGCAGTCCAAAGACGGAGTTACGAAGTTATACTAGGTTCCCTGAATTTGCTGCCGAAGAAACTGCCTTGGGTCCACGGACTCTCCAACAGGCTTCGGCAGGCCCCCGGCAGTGCCGAAAGAAGCCCCCCAAAGAGACCCTATCTCTCGTGAAAAGCGCCAGCCTCCAAACTGATGGGAGGGGGACTCCACGTCACGCCGATGGCTCTAGTCAGCCGAAAACGACCCACGATCCCGCCAACATAGCTCCTTAGTCGACCTCTGCGCCGTGCCCCCCCCCCATCCTGAGCATCGCTTCACCGACCCCTATCCCCATGGGCGTGGCCTGGGCCCCACTGGCCGATATGCCCTTCTGGATGGGGATATAGGCTGCTTCCTTCGGGCTTCGAGAGGTACATCCCCAACTGAGGTGCTGAGATGGTGGGGGTCTGGATGGGGATGGGGATACGGGGATACGGGGTTCGGCTACACGCAAGAGCGACCCTAGGCAAGAGTGGCCTGTGGTGCGCGGACTAGGGGGGCGCAAGGTGCGCCAGATCCGAGCGCGCCATCGGCCGCCATCGTATCGCGCTCAGGGATCGGGGGGGACCCTGATGAGCCCGCACCAGAGGTCACCCCGGAGGAGGGCCACTCTTACGCGTGGTCGAGGGGCCCGTGAACCGGTGCTGACATCCCCGACCGCGCCCGGCGACCCGCAAGGCGCGCCGCGGGCCGCGGGGCCTCCACCGAGTCCCCCGTGACCTCGGGCGCACACCGCCCCGCCCCCCGGGGGGGGCGACCGGCGGCCCGGCCTTGGCCCTCCGGGGCGGGCGAGAGGGGAGGGGCAGGCTGCACTGGAGGGGCCCAGGGACACACGAAGAAAGACCCACGACTCCCAAGATTTTCTCGTATCCTCTGGACTTTCGTCTTCCCCCCCACTTCCCGTACTGTACCATATTTTCCTGGGGATCGACGATTGATTGTGTCTGTGTGGCTTTTTCCCTCCTGATACACACCTGCTGAAAGTTGAGGAACTTTTAGGCTGCGGCAGGTTCGTGTCGTGCCGACTTCGGCGCTGATTTCTGACATCGCGGAAACAATATCGACCGATTCTGCGTCGCCGCCAGCGTTCCACGTCGAACGCTGGTGGAGGGGTAGCCGCCGGGCGACACGACGCGGACCTACCGTACGAAAATTGACCTCACGCGAAGCTTTGTCTTAGACAATAATCCAGGGCCGGATCTACGGACACTCTACGAAAAAAAGCGAGCTCCGAGGAAACGCCCAGGGTCCAGCCCAGATTCTTGATTCTCTTCAACGAAATCTGGAATCCATGAAAGTTGACGCGCTGCCTTAGGATGTCTGATGGGTGTACCGAGACCCCCTCGGGTCATGAAGAAAACGACGTAAGGTTTTTCGCAAATTTCGGTCTCTAGGGGCCCTCGCCAGGCCCTGAGGCCGTCCAGAAACGATTCAAGACGAAACGCTGGTCCCCAGAAATGGGTCGAAACCTCTGGGGTCATGGCTAGGCATGCTCAAGCCATAGGGTCGGGAACTTCCGTTTGTCGTGTCGCGGCGGCGGCCCCGGCTACACGCTGTGCCCTGCGAGCGGATAGCGTGTCGCTCCCCTCCGCGGGCCGGGAGGCCTTGAAAGGCTCGGACCGTTGACGCCTCGGGACTGGGAAGTGGATAACGTGTCGCGCCGAAGCGTGGCAGGCCAGAACCGGCGGGGCGACACGCCATCCGAAAGTTCCCGACCGTATCTGACATCCCACCCCTCCCACACATCCCTTCCCATGGCGCTGACATTTTCTCTGTCCGCGGGCACGTGCCATGGCGGACCAGGGGATCCCAAATAATTCCCCCTCGTCTCATGAGCAATCGGGAAAGTAGAGCTGCGTACATAAGAGGGGATAAACGAGGAGGAAGCGGCGGATAGGCACGAGGAGAAGGAGGAGCAGGAGGAAGGATGAGGACGAGGACGAACTGCAGCAGCAGGTATCAGGGCCCCCTAAATGGGGACATTGATAAACCAGGACGGTGACGAGCCCGAGAAAACTGCAGCCACGTGCCGAGGCATTCTTCATGGCTCGTTCTCCTGGCAATATTTTCAAAGTCCTGGTCAATATCGGGAGCGGCCAAGAAGGGGGGGTCCAAGCGGGGGGGGTGCAAATCATGACCGGCGGCATGTGCGCGGCCCAGCAGGGGGGCCAGGGACGTAGTGGAATCAGGAGAGGCGCCATGAAATCTGAGGAAATATCATGACCCCCGCAATGACATCCACCCCCCCCTAGTCATCACCCCCCTCATTTCCGCCCCCGACGATAGCGTCCCGGCTCGAGGGGGCCCTGGAGGGGAATCGTCCGGGGGGACCCGGCTCGGGGGGGGGGGGAGCACTGAGCCGGGATCGGCGGCGCATCGCCGACGGATCGGCGAGGGGCCTCCGACAGCGAATCCGCACCTTCCTTGGCGGAGTGGGCGGCCATCGGGCCCCTGTCGGCGCTGGATGGGCGATTGCGACTGGGGGTCGAATCGACCCCCAGTCGCAATCGCCCATTCATCGACCCGGGATAGGTTCATGGGGATGCATCGACCCCGGGCTGATGCATCCCCATGAACCTATCCCCACAAAACGTAGCCCCTCGAAAGGGGGGGGGGGAGAGTTAGCGAGCCAGCTGCAGCTCCCAGGAAGCTGGACATGTGTTCCGTTGCAGCGCGGCAGAGGCCATCCGCACGTGCGCTCAAGTAGTCCGGGGCAGGGAATGCGAATTGTCCAGCGGCACGAGAGGGAGAGGAAGGCGGAAGGCGGCCGCGGGGGGGGGGCGGAAAGAGGGGAGGCACTCACAGCGCGATGAACATCGGCCGGAGTGGCCGTGGCGGCCGGCCGCTGCTGAGGCGTCCTGGCAGTGAACGCGGAGCGGCATCGCGCCCGCACCCAGGGGCCAAGGCAACGGCTGCAGGCGCTGCAAGCGCAGAGCAAGTAGAACCATTTCAGGAGAGGAGCAGCGAGCGGGCCCACTGCGCGGGCAGCACCCGAGAGTTCGTCAAAAGGGCCGTGCGCGGCGGGCATTGCCGCGGAGCGGCTGCGCGGGGTGCGGAGGCCAGGGGCTGGCCAGCGTCAAGCTCGCAACAGCGAAATGCTGCAGGGCTGCCATGCTGAGCTGCGGAGGGCCACGCGGCAGGGCTGCTGGCAGAAGGGCCGCCGAGGCGGCCAGCAGGCCTGCCAGGAGCCAGGGCTGCTGAGCAGGACACCCCCTCTGGGGTGGTGCGGGCAACGAGGTGCCGCAGGCGGCCGCTGGAACGCAGGAAGGCCGGGAAGGAGAACCGTAACCGGCTGGCGCACGCATCACAGCCGGGTGCGGCGGGGACGCCCCGCCACAGGGCTGGCAAAGCGGGGGCGCCCAGCTGCAGGAGATGGAGAAGGCGGCCTACCCGGCCAGTGCAAGCAACACAGCCCGGATGCCACCGGCAGGAAGCTGGAAACACGCACGGCTGGATTCACGCGTGGAGCCACATGGAGGCCACACGCTGCATGCACATGCGGAAGCCCAGCGTGCCTGGCCACTGAAGGGTCGAGCGCTGAAACGACACCTGGCCACATGTGTACCCAGCTCTCGCCCAGGCTAGCCGCGTCGCGTGTGCCCAGCTTCCTGGTAGTTCTCCCAGCGCTGGAGGCGCCAGCATCGGGGATCTCCTGACCCAGGCCAATCCAAACCCGGGTCAGTCAGGCCCTGCAGGATCCTGCAAGATCCTGCAGGATCCTGAAGGATCCTGCACGCTACCCCAGGTCAGTGCACCCCAGGCTCTGCAGGATCCTGAAAGATCCGGCGCTCTGGCTGACCCCCGTTTGAATTGACCCCCGTCTCTTGAGCCCCGACAGGATGTCCAGGAAAGTCGCACGGCGGCGGGGCTGACACCAGCTGCGCGCAGCAGTTTCTGTACCCTCCTTTCCCCGCGCCCCCCCTCTCGTCCGAGCCGGCTTCCCCCCCCGCAAAAACACGCCGCTCCCAGCACGATCTCTTCGGTGCCCACCGCGGCAGCGGCGAGCGAGGGGCCTGCGATGTCCCCGGACTCGAGCCCCCGAGGGAGGGGGGGGAGGGGGCAGAGAGGCACGGGGCAGGGAGCAGAGAGGCCCTTCCACATGAGACCCAAGGATTGCAAAAAAAACCGAAGGATTGCAAAAAAAAAAAAACCCTTGAACGAAGGATTGCAAAAAAAAACAGGATTGCGAAAAAACATTGGTTTTTTGGCAATCCTGGGTGTTTTTTGCAAACCTTCGTTCAAGTGAGGGTTTTCTTGCAATCCTTCGAACAGTTTCGGTCGGAGCACCGCGCCGCATCGCCGACGCAGCGGCGGTGGTGGGATGGAGAGGAGCGGGCTCCAGATCGCGCCGCACCGCCGAGGCGTCCGCGAGGCGGCGCGATGCTACGATGCCATCTGCTCCGCTCTGTGGGGGGAGCCGAACGAAGGATTGCAAAAAAACGAAGGATTGCAAAAAAAAAGATTACAAAAAAACGAAGGATTGCAAAAAAACGAAGGATTGCAAAAAAAACCGAAGGATTGCAATCAATCCTTCGTTCAAGGGGGGGGGGAACGATTCGGAGGGGAACGGTGGCCTGGGATCGACGATACACCGTCGACAGATCGGCGCTAGCTCGATCCCAAGGGGCATCCGCCCGAACGGGGGCCAGGACGACCGCCCCGAACCAGAACGGTGGAAACGTCGGCCGGAACACCAGGGCTCGATCGAGCACTCACCGTCGGATCGGGGTCTCCTGAGCCCGCGGCCTTGAACTTGGCGGTGTGCTTGTTAAGAATGTCCTCCCCTTGTCCGAGACACCCACCCCAGTCCGTCCCCATCCGTTCTGCCTCTCCCTTGTTCTCCACACTTCTCTCGCTCCCTCTTCCCCCGCCCCGCTTGCCATCTCCCTTACCCCCCCCCTCCTCCCCGCTCCTTCCCTCCATTCTCCCTTCCCTCCGCCCCCTTTCCTTCCCTCCATCCATCCCTCTCGCCCCCACCCTCCCCCGTCCGCTTCTCACCTCGCTTTAGGCCCAGCGCGGTGAGCCGTGCGTGCGGGTCCCTGAGCGCCGAGAAGGTCAGGGGTGGCCCCGCAGAGCGATGCGACTCCCGCACTCTTCGGACACGCGGCAGCGTCTCGGGCGCACGCAGCGCGGGGCGAGCCCACGCAGTCCGTCGGTTCGGATCGCGGCGGGCGGCTGGCTTGGTCACAGAGCTTCTCAGGGTGTCCCCTCTGCGGGGGACCCCCTGCTCGCTGATGTGTGCGCTGGGCTCGAGGGTCCTGGGTGCTCTGAAACCTTTCGGACGAGCTCGCGAAGATACGGTGGGCAACCCGATATCGGAGTCGTCCTAGTCAACGTCGTCATCATCACAATCATCGTCGCCATCACCCGCATTATACCCTCCTCCTCCCAATCCTCCTCCTCCTCCTCCTCCTCCTCCTCCTCCTCCTCCTCCTCCTCCTCCTCCTCCTCGTCTGGTCGGGTCTGCACGACGGGCATCAAGATGGCAGCCCAGTACGGCGTCGAGATTAGTGGAGTTGACGATCAGGAGCTGCTCGCCCTTCGTCGGCAGGCCATGTCTTTCCTGGCACCCACGACGAGAGGCGCCAGTATGAGCGCCAAGCTTGCATTGCATGGTGAGCCTGCTGTGCGCAAGGCGATGGGGCCAGCGCTCCAGTGGAGCAAAATGATCTGGCAGGCGGTTGCTTTTCCCGATGAAGCGTTGCTCAGTTTGACTGAATTAAAACGCATGTGGGACCAAGTTTTCTACCATGAGCTGTCTGGATCTACGTGGGCCCACACCCGAGGCCCGATCGCCAGAGTGCTGCTTTGCCTCGCCCGTGCAAGGTGGAGTCCCGCCTCAGCCATTGCGTGGGTCAACCAGGATGGTATCACGATCCAGCTCGCCCAGCGCTCTCCTGCAATGCTAGGTTGGATGTTTAGCACTGCGTTCCAGGATGCCCATGAGAGGGCGCTGGGGGTGAGGTGGGGGCTTCCTGAAGGGACGAGGGCTGACCTGGACGTAGTCAGAAGCTGTCTAAGGACTAAGTCCAAGTATCCTAAGTACCAGAAGTATTTCGTGCGTGCTGCCTTATGCGACTGCCTCTGGACAGAGCAGGTGGCACATGACAACAAGTAATGCACTGTGCGCGCTGGTTTGGGTTTCGTTTCGACCCTTCAAGGCGACGTTCCCCCTGTCTGTGAAGTTTCGGTCGCCCAAGTATTCAATGGAGATGGTGGGTTGTTCCCTCAGCCAGAGGCTGAGGAAGCCACCACGTTCGCAGGCAATGCCGATCGTCTGCACATCGCAGTTGACGGCAGCAGCACCATGCCGATTTTGTTTTGTTTTCAGCGTGCTGCGTTTTCGGTGGTTCTGTTCGACCCCCAGACCGAAGCCACCCTCTCAGTGGTGCGTAGCACAGTGCCTGGAGGTTGCCCACAGACACCAGCTATGGCTGAGAATTTCTCGCTCGCGGTGGCCTGCCAGATCGCTGATCGTAGTTCGAATGTACATGTAGACTGCAAAGCAGAAATCGTCCAGGCGCTGCTCCCCCAGCATGAGCAGTTGCAAGCTGGAAAGGTGTTCGCTGGAGTGTTAGCTTTTGCCAGGTCTCTCGAGGGATTTCGTCACGTTGAGTCAATCCAGCATGTGAAAACCCATCGGAGCGAGGACGCGATAGGTACCCTCCCCCTGTTCTTCGTGCGCCAGCGCAAGGTAACCGTGCCGCCGACATGCATGCGAAGGAGGCGGTTCGTCCCCACCAGGATGTAGGTCCCGACGCTGCCACCCGACTCGAGAGCGAGGTTGCGACGGCCTCCAATGTTGTCAAGCTTGCTGCTGCTGTGCTCCCGGCTTTCCAGTCGAGAGCGAAGCGTGAGCGACCCTTTGCCCGCCGTCGGTCTGTCCAGTCGCCCCCAGGATGGGACGAGTGGGAAGAGGGACCGCTCGGGACGCAGTGCAAGCAATGTTTGAGGATCGCCCACGAGGGTGCGTCCCGCGAGGCTCTGGGTTGCTCTGGGGCCCCCGAGTTCGTTCGTCAGGTCGTCCGCCGTTCCCTGGGGCACCTGATAGCGGCTGTGGCCTCCCACGAGATCCACCCCAGAGCTCCAGAGCCCTCAAAGTCTAAGGTTATTCGTTTGCTGTGTTTGTGTTCGTTGCGGGTGCTGGGCCCAGCGGTGCTCGCGTAACCTTGACAAGGCCTGCCTGCGGCCTACAAGGAAAGGTCTTGAGGTGTTAAAGAAGTACCGCCAAGGCCTCAGCCCCAGCAATCGAGTACGACAGCTTATGGATCGTGCTGCTGCCGTTTCAGCGTTGTCTGTGGCTGCGAAGCCACGGTGCAAGACCCTCGCTCGAACCGCTGTACCGACTGCCCACTCGAGTGCCTCTGCTGTCCCTGAATACGAGAGACGGCTGGCTGCCCTCGCTGAGCGAGTATCGGCCAAGGAGGCGCTCAAGGCAGAAGCGTGATTTAAGGTCGTGGCACCCCGTCGCGGGCCCTGTTCAGGGTAACAAACCCCTCTCTGAGTGGTGCCACCGACCTGTTTCGTTTTGGCTTGCGAGCCTCTTCCCCTCGGGGCTGTCCTAACCTAACCTCCTCCTCCTCCTCCTCTCTTCCTCCTCCTCCTCCTCCTCATCCTCCCCCTCCTGCTCCTCCTCCTCCTCCTCATCCTCCTCCTCCTCCTCTTCATCATAATCACCATCAGCAGCAGCATCAGCATTAGCACCCGCACCAACATCATCACCATCAGCATCATCATCACAACCACCATCATCATCATCAGCAGCAGCAGCATCATCATCAGCATCAGCATCAGCATCAGCATCAACATCAGCATCCTCTTTCCCCCTTCTCCCTCTGCCTCCGCGCCGCTCGCTCCCCTGGTCCTTGAGCTTGGGCAAGCTCTTAGGCCGCTGGACCTTCCAAACACCAAGGCGCGTTCATAAGGGAGCAGATGAGGACAGGGGAGGAAGAGTACACAGTGAGGGCGGGGCAGAGGAAGAGGGCAGGGGGG